TGCGAAAATGCTGGCAGGGGCAGCATTTTGGAGTTTTCAAGCATAAAAAGCAAGAATTTTTGGGGGGGAGTTTTCAATCATCAAAAGCAAGAATACTGTATTTTCTTGCTTTTTATGCTTGAAACTCCAAATGCTGCCCCTCGCCACATTGTTCGGCAACGTTAAACTGAGAACGTTGACTGTACGTTTACTGAAACGTTAACTGACGGTGACTGGTAGCGTTAACTGGCAATTAAATTTTCCTACCAATGTGAGCAAAGTTGTGGAATTCTTGCGATTTTAGAATGACCTGGCTGCTGCGCAAGATGCACTGTCAGGGCTGCATGGCTCCATTAGCGAAGACAGCTACATGGACGCTGCTATACTATACGGCGATTCAGATTTTGCTGCAATGGCATTTCATGGCAAGCCACACAAGTACGTCACGCACCATGTCACGACCCTCTAGAAACGTCATATCACGAGCCTCTAGAAACGTCATTACTCGAGTCGTCCCCAGAGCGGGGTCGAGCTTTGGCCTGCTCGTGGCTTTCCTACATGGCTTGCAGATACTTCCAGTCAGGGCAACGTTGCATAGAAGTCACAGTCAACGTTCAGTTAACGTTCAGTCAACGTTACAGTCAACGTTCCAGTTAACGTTGCGAAAAGGCTGGCAGGGGCAGCATTTTGGAGTTTTCAAGCATAAAAAGCAAGAAATACATGTATTTCTTGCTTTGTATGCTTGAAAACTCCAAAATGCTGCCCCTGCCAGCATTTTCGCAACGTTAACTGGAACGTTGACTGTAACGTTGACTGAACGTTAACTGAACGTTGACTGTACGTTAACTGCAAATTCCTACCAAATGTAGCAAAGTTGTGGAATTCTTGCGATTTTAGAATGACCTGCTGCGCAAGATGCACTGTCAGGGCTGCATGGCTCCATTATCGAAGACAGCGACATGGACGCTGCTATACTATACGGCGATTCAGATTTTGCTGCAATGGCATTTCATGGCAAGCCACACAAGTACGTCACGCACCATGTCACGACCCTCTAGAAACGTCATATCACGAGCCGCTAGAAACGTCATTACTCGAGTCGGTGGATGGAGGAAATCTTGCACCACCTACACATCTTGTTTCGAATACACATCCAAGCAACAACCCCGCGCCCCCTTCTTAACACTGACGACAGACCTCTTGGGGCGGTGCAAGATTTATGTCATTGGAACGATTTTGTAAATCCCCGTGTTCATAGCAATGTTAAGAAGGGGGGAAGGGGTGAAGCTAACTAACATATCTTAAAAGTGGTGCAAGATTTCCTCCATCCACAGTAGTACTACTGCTACTACTACTACTACTACTACTACTACTACTACTATTACTTACTACTACTACTAGTACTAGGACTAGTACTACTACTAGTACTACGACAGTACTACTACAAGTACTAGTACGGCTAGTCGTACTACTAGGTCTACTAATAAAGTAATAATGATAATTATACTCGGACTCGTGGCAGTGAGTATTGCTGAGAATTAGGATATGAGCGAATCCAAGACGAAGGCCATTGTCTTTGCGCGAAGACCACGACCACCAAGACGACCGGCTCAGCGCTTGCGCTTGCCGGACGAAGGCGGCGGGCTCACCGGGTCCTTGCCCGAGCGCCCGGACCCGGGAGTCTTCGGGTCGGAGCGAGCCTTCCTCTTCGGCGTAGCCGGCGGGGGCTGCTGCTCGGCCTCCTTTGGCTGCTTCGAAGACGAAGTCGAAGGCGAGCCTGATGGAACCGCCTCGAAGAAGAGGGGCTTCTCAGGCATCGCCTCGGCCTCATTGTTCTCCATGACGTGGGTCATGGGGATGCTGATGCAGCCCTTCACGAAGGCCGTGAAGAAGAGGTGGGGGCCCTTCATCGGGAACCCGCGGATTTCCTTCGGAAGTCGAAGGCGAATGTCCGTCTTCAGGTACCGCACGACCCCGAACGTCGACTTGTCCTCGTCATCGGTGGCATGCTCAAAGTTCCAGTACTTGTAGAGCGGATGGCCGAGGAAGTCCTGCAAGAAGCTTCAGGCCGGCCAAAAAAAACAATCCAGTACATAATTAATTAATGTAAGGCTGATATATAGGTATTTATTATTGATACCAGAACATCAACAGCTCACGAGGCCCGACCCCCGTCCTGCCAGGTCTCGCATACCGGGTCCGAAGACGAAGACCAAGACTTCAGAGGACTGTCCGACTCCTCGCTTCTGGTCTTGCACCACTGGAGCAGCTGGCTCTTCTGCTTGCTGGGCAAGGCGCTGCGGAGATCCACATGGAGGACGAAGGCGACGACCTCCGTGACGTCGAACTTGGAAATCTTCTGCCCCTTCTTCAGCATCTTCTCTATGAAGGAGGCCACTGCTGGCGTCACCAAGGCGAGGATTTCCAAGGCCACCGGGATGGTCAGGAGTCGGAACTTGTTCATGTAGCTCGGCAACCTTGTGTCCGCATCGGCGTCCGTCAGGGCATTCTTCTGGTCCAAGGCGTCATAGGAACCGAGCATTATCGAGCGGTGGATGTGTTCGAATCCCCTTGGGTGCGACTCGCACCACTCCACGATCTGTTCCATCATGATCGCCTGGTTAGCCTTGTCGCTGGACAACACCTGTTTTTGTTCCCTCCTCACAGCGTCATTTTTCTTCTCTGCAAGGCGCTGTTTCTTGCTGACGCTGGCCGCCCCAGCCGCCGCCGCGGTCTTCTTACCAGCTGCCTTGGGTGCCATTGCGAAAGAAGGCGAGAGAAGATGGAGGGAGAGTCGAAGGCGAATCGAAGCCGAAAAAGCTGCAGCTTCGTTGGAGCATGCACACTCTGAACGGCATGAGCCTTGAGTGTCACTGACTGTAATAAGATGCAGAAGAGAAGGGTCGCGATACAAGCGAGGCTGGGTGGACCTTGCGAAGGCGAAGCCCAGTTGTCACCAGGGCTTGGCAACCTGCGAATGTGTGTAGTCGGAATGCTGTCACTGATAGAAACCCGTAACGCTGTAGATTCCCTGCCCGCTCCGCCCCGCAACCAGAAGTGTATAATCCTTACATGATGACAGAATCAGCAGCAGGACGACGTGGTCAAGCAGTCCGAATCGGGCGAATCGTTTGGTTTGAATGTTAAATTCAGGCTGTCCGATTTACGGTTCCTGAAAAAGTTTGGGGCATTTTTGTGTGGAAGGTGCCCTAAGCCCTCGGTGTTGCTCGGACATGTGGGGTTTTCGGGCTTAACAGCTGAAGTCTAATCAGGGTTTGAAGTCGAGGGAATGGGCATCTGACTTGTTGACGGTTTGGGGTTCCCGTTGGTTCGGGCAAGCTCAAGTTTAAATAAAATACTGATGTCTTTGGATCAGAGGCTTCGTTAATCAAAGTAATCTAATAAAGCAGAATCTTCCGGCCTTGACGGATAACACAATGTAGACTTGACCGACAGGAACAAAACTAATTGTCGCCTGAGCTCCAGTCCAAGTTAAGTTGCATTGTATAACTCTTTCCTCCCTTTCCCCATCAATGGACACTCGAAGATCTTGCTGTGCAGCAGCGGAAGGCGCAAGGGGCTGTTGGCACGACTGACGAGGAGAATAGGCGTTCACACCCAAGAGTGCTACAGTAGATGTAAAGGTAGAGGCAACTGAGGGAATTGAAAAGAGACATGAACGAATACAGTATCGATTGTTTATTGCTTGGCAATCCCAAAATTTCGTACAGCTCAGCCCAAATAACAGCCCTAGTTTGTCAACAATTAAAACAAGCCTGAGTCAATGGAGGTTTCAGTGTTTGGGGTGAGGGTCGTAAACAACTACACTTCCAACAGTCACGCCCAAACGATGGCTGATGTGCCTTGTCCGGGTCGTTCTGAAGTACGTGAGGACAGGATCGGCCTTGAGTCGGGGGGGGACGAATCCCTGGTCTTCTCCACAACGAATTAGGGAATACCCGAAAAAGGTACTCCTGTCAGTCTGACCCCTGAAGTTTTAGACCAAACTCTGATCTGAAAGCCTATTGAGTAAATGTCATTAAAATAGGGTTCCTTGGCTTGAATAAACACAGGATCTTAGCAAAACTGGTTGTACTGTGCTGGACTGCATGCAGTCCAAGGACGGACGGAGGGGAGTTCTCAACAAATCTAGCACAAGTCAGTGTCTGTCTTGGTTCTCTCAGACCAGGCAATAACAGTCCATTGTTAAACAATGGGCAGCCGAGTGCGCGAAGCCCTGACAAGGCCGAGAAGAAAAGTTTATCCCAGGGTCCCAAGAGCAATCTTGGGACCCTGCGATTCGGTGGCCAAGAGCTCTCCTGCGCACAGCGGCAGCAAGTCGCAGGACGATTTAAATGGCTGATGGGTTTAAGTGTAGCTGTCGGGAGAAGAAATAATTATGGCTGGTGGTTTTCTCCGTTTTTTTTTTGTCCCCGATTCTTGAGCAGAATTAGGCGTCACCAAGGCGAGGATTTCCAAGGCCACCGGGACAGTTCGAACTTGTTCGTCATGGGAGTGGATTCATGTCGCTCGGCAGCCTCGTCTCCGAATCGCCGTTGGCCAGGGCATTCTGGTGGTCGAGTCGAGGGCGTCATAGGACCCCGAAGCGTGATGGACCCTTATTAGTCGTCGAAGCCATGCGAAGGCCATGAGACGACGATGTGGTCCATCATGTGATCGTCTGAGGAGAGGACTTGACTTTGACTGCTTGCCCAGTGCAAGTGCCGATTGTTTTGGTTCCGCCTGCCGCTGCAGCCTTCTTACCAGCCTTCGAGCCATCGCAAAACCAAGCCAGGAAGTTGGTCGAAGTTGAAGCGTCTGTTGAAGGCGAAGACTCGGATCTTTCTAGCCATCGGTCGAAGGCGAAGAGTAAGACGCGAGTCGAAGCCCCGAAGCCTTCAGTTGAAGGCGAAGACTAAGACGTGAGTCGAAGCCCCCAAGCCTTCATTCGAAGGCGAAGACTAAGACGCGATGATTCGAAGCCCCGAAGGCCTCAGTCGAAGGCGAAGTCGCGACTCCTGCTACACCTCGGGCGGAAACTCATACGGGCAAGTCTCGCCAGGATTCAGTTGCAGGTAGCGTCTCCAGCTCATGTGCAGTAGCTTGTAGCAGCACCTGCTATCTGCTCCGCTGGGACCCCAAGACCTGGATGCGCTCCATCGGTGCTGCTTGTGGAACACTCTCCAGCACTTGTTGAACTGATCCTTGTACCCTCTGTAAAAAGGCGGCAGCAATTGCTGCAAGTCCTCGACGCTCCAGGCAGCATTGGACTCGAATCGGACCTTTTTGCGCCTCGTCGAAGACGACGAAGACGCAGCCGATTTCGAAGCCGATCCCAAAGTCGAACGAAGGCGCTTGCGAATCCTCGCCACAGCTCTGGTCAGCATCGCCGCTTCGACAGCCTGGCTTTGACGTGTCCGCTGCGCAGCCTCCACGTCCTTTTGAGCATCCTTCCCGAGGACATCGTCCAGCATGTCTGAAGCCAGAATCTCGTCGAGCTCCTCATTCGCAGATGGACAGCGCCAGTGGATGTTCCGCTCTAGAATGCTGGCAACTTCTTCCGGGCTGCAGTTCATGCCCTTTGCCACTGCGGCCTCCAAGGCGAAGCCCAAGTCGTCTTCGCGCCAATCCGTGTCCGCCTCTGCCAAGCCGAACTCATCCTGTCGACAGTTTAATTAATTTACGAAGCAATGAGAGAGTGTGACAAAAATTTCAAAAGGTATTGTTAGCTAAGCCGGTTAGTCCTGGAGGAGCAGCTTGACGTAGAAGCTGCTGATGTCCCAGTAGGCATGAGCAGCAGCATGCTTCAGCAAGGCGACAGGATTCTTGGCACGCTCGCGCCACATCCCAGGAAGGTGTGGGACCTGCAACTCTGCAGGTTTCTTTTTGTTGCCGCTGCTTTTCTGCAGAATCCCTGCGTGCAAAGGCGACACGATCGTCGTTTGCAGGACCTGCCAGTCGGCAAACTTCTCCACAACCTTCCAGTGCAGATGCCCCCGTGTCAACGGCTTTGGCAAGGTGTAAAACACACTCTTGTCCGCAGCCTCGACTTTCTGCACGGAAATGCAAAGGGCCGCCGCACAGGTGGGCCAGGGACCAAGGCTGAAGAAGACCAAGTCCGGGCATCTCCTGTCCTTCACAACCAGCCCACGCTGGAGGAAGCGGGTCCGCCACGTGTGGACGAGGTCCTGCAGCCGCCCCTCCTTGTGGAACCGCACCATGAGTGCTGACTCTGCAGGGATGGCGGAGGCACGCAAAGGCGAAAGCGAAGGCCATGTTTTGCGATTCAGGATTGTTCGCAGATCCTCCGTCGAAGGCGAAAGCTTTCGAGTGTGGAAGAAAGTCGCAGGCACTGTCCCGACTGAGACCTTTTGGGTGCAATTTAAACAAAAAGACTGAGGACAAGCTATTTGATTCAATTTAATGAGGACTTTACTGAAGTGGATTTTCCGTTCAATGCTTCTGGGGCGAACATTGATTCTCCCATTCCCCTACCTCGGCATCATCCGGCTCGATCTCTTGGTAGCCGAAGGACCCCAGGATGTTGTCGCCTGTTAGCTTCGCCCAGCCATCTATGGACGGCATTGCGTGACTCAAGTTCTGGCCTTGTTCGTGCTGTCGCATCGCACGGAATCCTTCTTCGTTGAAGGTAAAGGCTAAGTTTGACCAGAGATCCGTCATGACCGTCCGCAGCATCGGTGTGGCGCTGCCATTGTTCTGGCGAATGTCCTGGAGCACATCTTTTACAAGCCGGTGCTGCATGGGCGAGGTCTGGCAGGCAGATTTGCACCACTTCGTTCGAATGCCTTGAGCACTCTCAAAAGCCTTTGCCTGATCTTCGAGTTCCACGCACACTGTTTGGATGGCCGAGGTGTCGTTGCCGGTGAGCAAGACGAGCTTGTGCGGGAAGTCGAAGAAGGCCATGCTGGTCAGGCACTTCTGGTCATGCGCACAAGAACATGTCGCAGAGCTGGCCGAAAAGCATGTCCTGTTGACTGACAAGGGGGTGCTCCTCGGTCAACTTGTTGTAGAACATGGAGCCGGCGCAATCTTCTTGCGTTAGAAGGCCAAGGCGATGATGAAGATCGGCATCGAAAATGGCGTCGTGCATTTCTGAGAGAACGGAAATCCAGTCTCCCAAGGCGAACGAACGCCACATGGCCAATGCGCCTTGCCTTCCCCTGACTTCTCTACGCAAAGTGTTCAACTGTCTGGACAGAGGAAAAGTGATTGCATGCCAGCTGTTCAAGGCGTTCATGAGGTCCAAGTCCATGAGAAGCAGACAGACCACGTGGAACTTGTTCTTGCACCTGTTGTACAAGGCAGTGGTCGCGGCCTTGGCTTCCTTCATGGTCTTGGAGCCTTCCTTCTCCGCCCTGGCCGTTGCAGAGGCGGCGGCCGCCGCTTCCGCGACTCCGAAGGCGAAGTCGACACCCGAAGACGATCCTTTCAGAATGCCAGCTCGCAGGCAGTAAGACTGCATGAGCAGCAGCAGCAGCCCGCTCTCGTCCCGGCGGCTCCGCCATGCGGAGTGAAACTCGTCCCAGCGTGAGAAGTTGCCGCTGCCGGTGTACGACCGGAGGAAGCGAGCTTCCTCAATGCGTGGGGATTTGACCTTGATGATGTTGCTGCTCACCCCACAAGAGCTGTAATGGATATCGGTGTGGCTGGCTTGCACTCTCCACAGACTGGACACTGTCTCTCTCCCTTACTTCCACGCGTGCAACCCTATGCAGGCAGAACCGGCGGCCGTTCCTTTTGCACTCGCTGCCGGCGGCGGTTCGTCTGTGCACGGGATAGCTCTGATTGCTCAGGTCAGAAGATATGTATATAGCACTTAGCTATGGGCATTGGCTTGAGCCAAACGTTGCATAGGCGGTCACATGGAAAGGTAAGGAGAAGCGATGCGGTGTGCGTAGCACGTCCACAAGCTTACTCCTAGAGTCGAGGGACGCGTAGCGTGCCCCCTTCCCTTGCACTTTACACGGTCTCGCTCACAGCTCTTATAGTGACACCTTAGAACTTGACAAGGCATCGCAGTCCGTTCGCACCCCCCATGAGTTGCGTCTCCGACGCTGCTCACCCGGAAGATGGCACGATAGGACAGAAGAAAATTCCGCCGCAACATTGACATTGAAAATCAGAGCTTTGTATCCCAATTAGAAACGTTGTGACACTCATCTACGTCAGTAACGATCCCCTGAAATGGCAAACGAATCAGGCGTCACTGAAGAAAGAAGCATTCGCGATGGCATTCCACGGGCGAAGCTCAGAGGTCACAAACTGAAAGGTGATGTGGTTCAAGTATTGTCTCGATACCATCTTCGTGTTGACGCAGGATCGCGGTCCCAGGGCCGGAGGTTCTCCTCTGGATACGGGTCCCTTTGCTTTCCTTTGTCCTTGCCTTTGTTTCGGCCTTTACTGGAGACGTAGTCATGGTAGGTGTTGCTGTTCCAACCTCCATACTGCTCATTTCCAGTTCTCTCACGCCCTTTTGAAGGTCCCTTTGCCGAAGAAGCGCTTGCACGTTCCTCCGTAGTGACAGGCGTGTCCATGATGGAAGTACCACCCGGAGGGAGATACTCAGTGGCCGAGATGTGATGGAGAGCTTCAGTACGTCGGGTTGTCGGATTTTGCTGTCTCTCAGCCTTTGATCTGACCAATCTGTCCATGAAATGCGCAGGCATTTGCACATTATGGTCCACCAGCAATCCAATAGTCTGGACTGAGTGATCGGCATGAGTCAGCAGGATACCGACGGGGTCGATGTACAGGAAGTCCACCGGTCCGGTTGGTGTAGGTCGGAGCACTGAGAATTGTTGGTGTCCTGTCACCATCGGAATCACTTCGCACAGGACATTCAAGCAACAGAAGTGCATAGCCTTCACATCTTCATCCTTGTTGCTCTTCAAGTACGTAGTAGGATTGAAGTTGTCCCTGCCGATTCCCATCATGTTGGCTCCCCGCGTAAGCAAAGAAAGCATTTGGTTCGTCCGGAAGCGCTTCAAAGTGTAAGTCCCGTTGGGATCATACTGTTTGAGGTTCTCAGGTTCCTTGGCAAAGCGAATGATCTCCTCATCAGTCACATCCCTACTCACACCCGTCTCTTTGTCCACTCCAGCCAAAGTTCCCCATTTTCCAAGCACATCATACCGTTGGCCAAGCGCAAAATTCTCTTTCATCTGAAACAACGGCATAGTCGCCCACTTCGCGAACCCTGACCAAGCCTTGTAGATGGTCCTGCATACCACGAATGCCATATACGAAAGAGCGGCCATGTTGGCGTCGATGCAATGGGCATTTCGCTTTCCTGGGTAGTAGGATGGCTGCATGGCGGTACGTGCGAGTTGCAGTTCAGGATCGATGTTCAAAGACTGGCCGGCGATGAGGACGGGACGTCGTTCCTGTGCTACTGCATCTGGTACTGCGTCATCAAAGTCCTCTTCTGGCTCTGTGTCCATTTCTTCATCAGGTTCCTGTTCTGGATCATCTTCCGCGACGACAGATGGATCTGGGATTTCCTCAGGTTCCGCAACGGTTTCTATCTCCATGGCTTCCTGCTCCTCGACGGTTGCCTCGGGCACTGCTGCTGCCGCAGCTTCCATTGTCTGAGCAATGAAGTCACTGGGGATCTCCGTAGGAGTCTCCCGTTGTGGAGTACCTTGGTAATATCCGCAAGAAATGAATTGCGACCAGCAGGACGTGCATCGGGAGAAGCATGCCGGGACGATGTTGTAGCATGCCGGGCACACCCTCATTCTCCTTCCATCCTCGTCTCTGCGTAGGTCTTCGGGTCGCCAATTCTTGATGACAAACTTGATCCCTTTGTCCATGTAGTGATGCCGAACCGTGTTCTCCCTGTGGGACTCCAGGACTGTCACAAGGTCTCGCATGATCTGCTCCTTGCTGGTGTCGTGGGGTCCTGGAGGCATCTCGCAAAGCAATTCCATGATCTTGCTTGGTGTTCGGTATCTCTCGAATTCAGTGAGCAAAGGTGATGCAAAATAGTCCAACACCATCTCTTTCTCCAATCGTTCATCATAGATCTTTTCCACCAGAGCGAAAGAGTGCGTATCTCGAGGATTCGGGACGCAAAACCATACTTCCTTGACGAACTGGAACGGTATCGTTCGACCAACGATGATGATCCCGCTGTCTGTGATACGTCCATCCTCTCGTGCGAGGTCCGTCGAAGGGACATGGAGGACCGCCAGCGGCATGTGCTTGGCTTCTGGTCCATGTACCCGCATCTTGGTCGTTGCATTCCGGGTATCGAACGGCGCAAACACCCCCCAATAGCTGTGGAGTCTGCCGCCTTGGTTGCCTCGAAACTGGCGCCTATGGTCGAAGTCCCCGTCGGGGTCCTCCGAACCCGGCATGATGCCTTGCGTGACGATGGAATCCAGGTTGCGGCATGCCGTAGAGTGGAACGCGCCTCCAAGACGTTGCAAGAGGGTCATAGATGGAGATATTGCGAACCTGTTCTTGTCCAACTGAAGCAAATTGTTCTGGGGATCGGAGTGCGAAGAGTGACCACTTGTAGCCCGAACTGCCCATGGCCTCACCCAGCCGTTGCAAACGTTCAGGTACCTCTGGCTGTGCCGGCAACGATCATTGTTCTGGATCTCTGTGATCTGATCAGGAACCGATACCAACATGTTCGAACCTGCGGATCCAAGAGTCTCCGTGCCGGGGTCCTTCACCCTCACTCCCAGGA